GTGGATAAGTTATCTACATTATTTTTAAGGCGTGGATAATTAATCTGCAACATTTTTAAGGCGTGGATAATTTATCTACATTATTTTTAAGGCGTGGATAATTTATCTACATTATTTTTAAGGCGTGGATAATTTGTCTACATTATTTTTAAGGCGTGGATAATTTATCTACATTATTTTTAAGGCGTGGATAATTTATCTACATTATTTTTAAGGCGTGGATAATTTATCTACATTATTTTTAAGGCGTGGATAATTTATCTACATTATTTTTAAGGCGTGGATAATTTATCTACATTATTTTTAAGGCGTGGATAATTTATCTACATTATTTTTAAGGCGTGGATAATTTATCTACATTATTTTTAAGGCGTGGATAATTTATCTACATTATTTTTAAGGCGTGGATAATTTATCTACATTATTTTTAAGGCGTGGATAATTTATCTACAATTTAAAGATGTGGATAATTTATCTAGGTTGTGTTGATATTTTATATACAACATTTAAAAGGTGTGGATAATTTATCTACAACATTATAAAGGCGTAGAAATATATTTACAACATTTAAAGGCGTGAAAATTTATCTTCAACATTTTAATGGCATGGATTTTTTCAATAACATGAAGGCGTAAAAAATGTATCTACAACATATTGAAAGTCTTGTAAAATTTATCTAAATAAATTTTAAGGCATGGATAATTCATGTAGATAATTTTGAAGCCATGGATAATTCATCTAGAGGCTTGGATAATTCATCTAGATAATTTTCAAGGCATGTACAATTGTTGAATATATTTTCTATTCTGCTGCTAGTGGATGAAAGGAAAGACACTTGTGCTCTGGCTGGTGGCTTTATTGAGAGTGAACAATTTTCAAATTACACACTAGACAAGAAATCTTACTACTACGAATATTTACATTGTTGTGTATAGGTTACACTAGGCGAACTAATCGCAATTACTCTACGCATGTATGTTGTGTGTTGGAAGTCCGTAACGCGGACATTCAATAATTACAACACTCCTCCTCAACACACATACATACATGCCCATATCGAAATCTCTCAAATCATATCTTTATTAACATACATTCAAAATTTGTACACCCATTACAAATTATAAATACACACAGTATTTTTCTTTACTATGATCAGCAATTCATCTCCTCCTGCATCTTGTCCCCCTCCACGGGTTCGACAATGGTTGACCTAACTGTGCCTTCATCTCATCGAAACACATTCGATACCGTTCGTCGTGGGCTCTCCCCATCAGTTGACCGTAACGGTATTGGCACTTCATTGGATTGTTTTTGTTTCGCCATAATCACATTTTTACATTTTACAAAAACAACTCCCCTCTCGCGGTCAGCAAACTCCTTTTGCTCGTCGTCTATTGCGCACATTTCTTCACGACATCTTACCGCTAGTCTGTCAACCGTCTTCAAAATTTTATTGCAGGTTCTACACGAACAACACACTATGAGATCTACCTCTTCTTTTTCGCCAGAGACTTCTTGCAAACAAATTACGCATCGTCGTCACACCGCTAGACAAACACACAATGCTCTTACTTGCATTGTTGTTGTCAAACACATCACTAATGGTGTACGCATGCTCGTGGGGATTTCTCTGCTCGACCTTTTTCGCTGCCTGCAGTCTCTGCTGCCACTACTTGTGCGCGAAATATTTTCTGCTACCTGCGTTGTTGTTGCTGAATTATTCTTGTGCGCCTCGGCAATCGCACCCTGCTTTTGTTGTTGTTGCCATTCACTCGCCTTTTCGAGTTTTCCAAATATCAACATTCTTATCTGCATTTTCTTCCATAGAATCACCTCCCAAACAAATTGGTGGACCAGCACTGATTCCCTTGCAGATTCTACCAGCCGTAATTGTCCCCTGACAATTTCTCTATGCAACACATGCATAATTCCATGTTGCGTATGTTGTCGACACACGATCAACATACCCGACACACAGTTATACAACATGGAATGACTCTCAATGCCCTTTTCTATTCCGCACACTTCGATCACACAGATCGGACACTTTCCACTGTCTTCCTTTCTCACACCATCCACTAGTCTCATTAGGATTCACTCTTTCCGGGCCGTGTGTTACTGATACACAAGTAACATAATCGCTGGTTTTCGACACACGAACAACCATGATCTGCTGGAGGGACACACTTCTCCAGAGGCCTGCCGGATACTACTCACTTTGTATTTTTCTCCATCAGAGTGATCCTGAACGTACACTATTTATCTCCTTCAGAGTCATCCTGGATTCAATGCTGCGACTGCTTCGCATGGCTATGCCTGGGGTGACTGGGCCCATAACCTGTTGAAAGTATTTATATTCTGCTGCTAGTGGATGGAAGGAAAGGCACTTGTGCTCTGGCTGGTGGCTTTATTGAGAGCGAACAATTTTCAAATTACACACTAGACAAGAAATCTTACTACTACGAATATTTACATTGTTGTGTATAGGTTACACTAGGCGAACTAATCGCAATTACTCTACGCATGTATGTTGTGTGTTGGAAGTCCGTAACGCGGACATTCAATAATTACAACAACAATTTATCTAGATAATATTAAAAGCATATGTAATTTATTTTGATAATTTTGTAGGCGTGATATCTAGATAATTGTCAAGAATATTTTTCTAGATAGTTTTTTTAATGAAGAGTTATCTACATATTGGCTGAAACGGTATAGATTATTTATCTACACATTTTTCGTAAATAAAATACGTATTTAAATAATGATTTTCAGCGTATTAAAAAATATATTGTTATATTTATCTGATTTAATATTATCTGAATTTCAGGCTTTTTCTATAGATTATTCTAAATTGACTAAATACATTTTTTTCAGATAATTCTTCGACTGCGAAAATGTATCTGTATAAATTGTAACGGTGTGAAAGAAATATACATATCATTTCACTATGTTAATTTCAGGATTTATCTAGATAATATTTTAAATTTATAAGGGAATTTGTTCCACTGTCTGAATTTATTTGGATATTTTTTGTTGACTGCGATTATTATTTTCACATAGTGAATAATTTATCTAAATAACTTTATAAAGCCTTGCACAATTTTTTAGATAATTTTTCAACTATGTGAATTTATCTGAATATTTTTTTTTTAAATCGAATATGAATTTATCTAAATATTTTATTTGAGTCTGAGCATAGTTTTCATTGAGTAGATAATTTATCTAAATAATTTGATAAAGGCTTGCAACATTTTTTTAGATAAATTTTTAACTACTTAAATTAATTTTCCACTAAGTGGATAGATAATTATTTTAGTGCATGGATATTTTATTAAATTCCTTGTGATTATAAATTATCTCTCAATAAAGGATACATTCTTTAATTCAGTGAATAAATTTCATTTTTTCTCTCCAAGGACCCAGCTGTTTCCCCTAAGACCTAAATGGCTCAATTCAATTTTAAATACCTCACAAGAAAATTCAATTTTCAATTTTGTCTTTACACGAAGAAAAGTTAAGCCTACCGCTCTCCTACCTAACAGGTCATGGAAAATTAAACCCTAATGGCCTTCGTATTTACTCAATCCTTAAAAAGGACTCTCTCTATTTAGATGGGTTTTCATTTTTTATTTACATTGTCATTCACCTGCTGGAGGAACTGTGATTTTTTTTTTTGAGTCAATAAGTTAAACATGTGTGTGTGTTAAATTTTTTTTCTATTTTGTCAACAGATTTATCATCTGAGGCATTCATGAACTTTTCACTGAAAGATACAACAACAACAGCAACAAAAAATCAAAAGCTATGACAATAAAGGAAAGAACGAACATAAACAACAACAAAACCGACTAACATCAAATAACAACATTAATTGTCCACTTTTTTTCTAAAGTGGGTCAAGTTGACCCAGGAGGGGAGTTGGGGGGCCACCTATTGTCTCCCACACAGTAGACTACTCTCTGAGATGAAATGTTCCGCTTTAAGGAGAAAAAATGACTGCCTAGGCAGGTCATTGATAGAATGGATGTGGAACAAAAAAAAACCCGACTAAGAAGGTTTCAGGAACAACAAAACAACAACAACATGGTGGGAAAAAATTACCACCTGCCATTTTTTTCTTTGGGTCTTTGGAAAAAAATTGTTACTTCATTGCAGGTTAACTGGTGCTGCTGCTGATATTTCATGCCCAGTAACCATACTAAGCTACCGAACGTCCGACCGACCGAACAATTTTCCCCATGTTCAATATATCTTTTGTCGTTGTCCCCTCTCCATACCCCTCTCACAACAAATTTTCACAGACGGACTATTTTCATTCATGTGCTTCACACTTTTATGTTTCCTTTGCTTTCACACTTTTTTCCTTCTTCTTCGACTTTTTTCTTTCAATCTGATACTTTATTGGCTTTTAGGAGAAAGAAGACAACAACAAAAAACGAAGCGAAACCCTGCTCACTGTCCTGTCGTTAAGTTGATTAATTTCTTTCACCTCAGTTTTTTTTTTTTTTTTTTTTTTTTGCATGCCGAGTTACCTTGGCACCTGTCAAGAAAGTGAGAAAGAGAAAGGGAGAGTGCGAGAGATATCTTCATAATAAAAGCTAACAAATGGATAAATGTCATCAAGATTTCAGAATCTTGATAAAAAAAAACGTCGAAGGAAGATATCGAACAATTTGATTTTTTTTAATTTTTTCTGAAGTGAATAATAAAGAAAAGAAAAGGGACCAATTATTTTTGGATAAATCAAGGGATAAACAAATCAGTTTTTTTTTTTGCAACCAATAAATGGATCTATTTACAGAGACCTTTTTCGATTAGGGAATCAATAGATTTATTATATAAAAAACTAATTAATTAATTAATGCCATTATTTTTTTTATTTTTTCAGTTATCTCCATCCCTATGCACCGTAGATGAAATTCGTGTCACTTCGTTCCTGCAGCAGAGCTCAGCATATTATGAATAGTGAACGCCGAAACAATATGTTACCGATGAAAATGCCTTCCCACCTATCCCTAAAGTCAATTTATTTACCGTTATTTGTAACACTGCTCTCGCTGAGCATTGTCACACCAGTTACCGCACAATGCCCCTGGCATAGAGATTTACCCGATCTACAGACATCCTGTATATGTTCATATAATTTGGGTCGTGAGCTGTCGGTGCAATGTGATCAGGTATGAGAGGCAATACTAATATATGATAAATTATATAAAAACTCGATAAAATATACTAAATTAATTAATCTTTGGTAGACAAATTAATTTTTTTCTACGATAGATAAATTCAATAATTCAGCTATGGTAGATAAATTCAAAAATTTATCTACGGCAGATAAATTAAATAATTTATCTATGGAAGATAAATTAAAAAATGTATCTGTGGTAGATAAGTTAAATAATTTATCTATGGAAGATAAATTCAATAATTTATCTGTGGGAGACAAATTAAGAACTTTATCTATGATAGATAAATTCAATAATTTATCCATTGTAGATAAATTAAATAATTTATTTATGGTAGATGAATTAAATAATTTATCTATGAAAGATAAATTAAAAAACTTATCTATGGTATATAAATTAAATAATTTATCTATGGTAGACAAATTCTGCTTTTTCAGCTCGTCTATAGACACTCCCTTCAGTTCGTCCGTAAAGTCCGTCTACAAAGACTCCTCATTCTCGCTTCAGCTTGTCTAAAAATGACTCCTTGTTTAATGTATCTATTGTAGATAAATTAAAAAAATTATCTATGGCAGATAAATTAAACAATTTATTTATGGTAGATAAATTCAATAATTTATCTATGACAGATGTGTCTTTATCTAGATAATTTCTAAAATTAGGCTTTTAAACATAGATTTATCTGCATAATTTCCTTTAAAAAAATGTTATCTTCAAAAGTTTAGATAATTCATCTAGATAAAATCTAAACAATTTTTAAAGGCGTGGATAATTCATCTAGATAATTTATCTACATTATTTTAAAGGTGTGGATAATTCATCTAGATAAATTTAAATGCGTGAATAACTCATCTAGATAAGTGTAAAACAGTGGATAATTCATCTAGACAATTTTTGAAGGCAGGGTTAATTCATCTAGTTAATTTTAAAAGCGAGAATAATTCATCTAGATACTTTGAAGACATAGATAATTCATATAGATACTTTTAAAGGCATAGATAATTCATCTAGATACTTTTAAAGGCGTAGATAATTCATTTAGATACTTTTAAAGGCGTAGATAATTCATCTAGATACTTTTAAAGGCATAGATAATTCATCTAGATAATTTTAAATGCGTGGATAATTCATCAACTTACTTTTAAAGGCATAGATAATTCATATAGATAATTTTAAAGTCATAGATAATTCATCTAGATACTTTTAAAGGCATATATAATTCATCTAAATACTTTTAAAGGCATAGATAATTCATCTAGATACTTTTAATGGCATAGATAATTCATCTAGAAAATTTTCAAAAATATTTATATAGATATTTTTTCAACAAGGAGTTATCTACATATTTGCTGGAACGGTATAGATAATTTATTTACATAATTTTCAATAATATTTATCTAGATATTTTTATCTAGATATTTTTTCGCTTTTTCATCATTAAATCTAAAATCTATCTTATATAAATTTTACAATTTATCTATTTCAGATAAATTATATTATTTATCTATTTCATATAAATTATATAATTTACCTATTTTAGATGAATTATATAATTTATCTATTTTAGATTTTATCTATTTCAGAAATTAAATTATCTATGTTAGAAAAAGTAGGCAATTTATCTATTTTAGGTAAATTAGACAATCTATTTCAGATAAATTAGAAAATGTATCTTTTTTAGATAAATTTGTAAATTTATCTATTTTAGATAAAATTCACAATTTATCTATTTTAGATAAATCGCACAATTATATTATATATTTTAGATAAACTATGTGATTTGTTTTTTTAGGTATACTATATAAATTATCTACAATAGGTAAATGTGGCAATTTATCTATTTTTGGAAAAATTAAGAAATTTATCTTTTTAAGATAAATGTGGCAATTTATCTATTTCAGATAAATTTGACCATTTATCTACTTTAGATAAATTTGGGAATTTATCTACTTTAGATAAATTTGGCAATTTATCTATTTCAGATAAATTAGGAAATTTATCTATTTCAGATAAATTAGAAAATGTATCTTTTTTAGATAAATTTGTAAATTTATCTATTTTAGATAAATTTGACAATTTATCTATTTTAGATAAATTAGAAAATTTATCTATTTTTAGATAAATTATACAATTTTTGCCAATTAATTTATCTATGTTGATTATCTAATTTTTATTTTGTATCTTTTTTCTCCTCCCCTATTTTGCAGGTTCACTTCCCCACCCTATTGGAGGCCTTAAATAAATACGTAAAACAGAAACCCATCGATTTGTTGTACATCAACAATTCTACAGTGGGCGATCTGACCGACGATATGTTCGCCAATCTGAGTCTACACAATGTCCAGTTGTCGTCATGTAAAATTTCCAAAATCAGTGACGGAGCTTTCCGGGGGCAAGAGGAGGTGCTGAAAAATCTCAATTTACAAGATAACCTGCTGGAGGAGGTGCCCACCACAGCTTTGAGGATATTGAAAATTCTCAATTTATTAGATTTATCGAAGAATCGTATAACCGTGATACCAGATGAGGCCTTTAAGGGTTCGCTGCGTTTGTCCACCTTGAAATTGAATGATAATAATGTCACCTTGTCGGTGGGGGCTTTTCGTGGCCTAGAGAATAGTTTAAAGAACTTAAATTTGAAGGGCACAAAACAGAGAAGGGTTCCGGAAAGTATTCGAGGCCTCAAGAGTTTGGCATTTTTGGATCTATCGCTAAATGGTATTAAGGAATTGCCTGGGCCGGGAGGTATACGAACCTTTGATGGTTTGGATTCCCTGACCGCCTTGAATTTGGAAAGGAATCTGATACAGAGCCTGGGAGAATCTTCGTTTGTGGGTGTCCGCAAGACATTGAGTTCGTTGAGTTTGTTGAATAATTTATTGGCGGATTTCCCTGTCGGAGCCATTCATTCCCTGAAAGAGTTGAGGGTTTTGGATATTGGTTTTAATCTGCTGACCACATTACCGGAGACTGCCTTCCGTGGTAATCCTAGCATTACCCTGCTGGCCTTGGATGGTAATCCTTTGGCGACTGTACCTGAAACTGCATTCCTGCATTTAAATGCCACTCTGAGGGGTCTGTCGTTGGGTGGACGTTTCCTGCACTGTGATTGTCATTTGAAATGGGTGGCTGAATGGATACGCAAGGGTGATCTGCAGGTAGGTTGGAAGATCTCGGTTAACTTTTAACGTCGAAATTATATGCTTCCGATTCCGATTTCAGGTTACATCCCGCGAACGTAATCCCCAGTTCTGTGGCAGTCCAGCCAGATTCCGGGATCGTGGTTTCTATTCCATACAACCGGATGAGCTGACCTGTAGTGACAGCGATAGTGAATTGCCGATCGATGATATTTTGCCAGCTGGACAAAAACCCACCGTAGCAACAAAAACAGTGCCTTCTGGTAATCCGCCGCAGCAGCAGCCACAGCCACCAGTCAGTACTTCAAATAATGAAGAAACCCTGATCAGTAGTGAGGTGGCCCCCACTGCCTCATCCTCACCTACCACAACAGCTGCATCATTGCCCAGTTCGAGTAGCAGTGCTGTGCCCACCCCCACATCAACCAGCACCACAACGACAACAACAACAGCTACCACTAAAACGGTAAATAAATTGAAATTAATCTCCTCCCCGCATTTTTTCCTGGGGCTGGAGAGGAAAAAAGAAATTTAATATCTCTCCGAAAATTAATCCTTTGCTTTCTTTCGCTTCCGTTGTTTTCTTTTCTTCCCATTTTCCTGCAGACAAAAGCCACAACAGTTTCAACTCCGGCCGCCCATTCATCGGCTGAGACGCCCAATAATTCGTCGCAACAACAACAACCCATCCAGCCAACACATCAATCAACATCCGGTATTGGTTCCGCCTCACCAACCACCATTATTCAATCACAGCAGAGTAATGGCGGCAGCGGGGGCAGTGCCAAACAATCACCCTCTTGGCGCCAAAATTCAAGCGGCTCATCCGGTGCCCCGGCACACAAACAACAGCGACCACCGCTGGTTTTGGGCTTCCCACCCCAACGCGGCACCCGTATTGATGACTCCAATGAGGTTCAAGTGAAAAATGCTTTCCGTCAGGATAGTTCGGTTATCATTCAATGGGATTCCGATACGGCGAATATTTTAGGTTTTCGGGTGGTTTATCGCCTCTTCGGGGAGAAATCATTTAAACAGGGTCCCCCATTGGAGGCTAGCGAACGTGAATTTAAAATAAAAAATGTCCCCGCTCAGGAGTGTATAATTGTGTGTGTCATCTCATTGGAAGAGTTGCATGTCACACCGGAAACTGTGCCGTATCAACAGTGTCGCGAAGTTCGAACGGTAGCATCACAGACATCGAATATGGATAAGATAACAATAGCGGCCAGTGCTGCCATATGTGGTACAATTATTGTGGCTGTGATTGTTTTTATTGCGGCTAGCAGGTGAGTTGAGAGTGGGTGGGGTAGTGGAGGCATGGCGGATTAGAGTGGGTGATGGGAGAAAAGGGTGAACAATTTAAGGGCATAATATTTGGAATCTTGGAAATTTACCCCCGCGTTTTTCAACCGAATTGGCTGAAATTTGATATTTAGGGTTCTCATTGAGTAGAACATTTTGGTACCAAAAATTATCAAAATTGATCCACTTTTTAGGTTAGCACACATATAACCGGACCTTCTAAATTTCGGTATTTTGCAGAGTTTGGACACATTTTACATCCGAATTGGCTGTAATTTGGTATTTTGGGTTCTCTTTGGTTAGAAAATCTTCCTACAAGAATTTATGAAAATTGGTCCGGTTTTAGGGATAGCCCCCATATAACCAGACCTTAAAAATTTCCTAAGTGTGGGGTTCTTGAGAGCATTTGTCACTCGAATATTCTGTAATTTGATATTTTGTGTTCCTAACAGATAGAAAACCTTCCTACCAAAAATTATCAATATTGGTCCACTTTTTAAGTTAGGCCGCATATAACCGAACCTAACAATTTTCGGTATTTTGACGATTTTAGGTAAATTTTTCAGCCGAATTAACTGTAATTTTATATTTTGGGTTCTCTTGGGTAACAAATCTTCGTACCAAAAATTAGCAAAATTGGTCCACTTTTTAGGGTTGACCCCATATAACCGAACCTTCCAATTTTCGGTATTTTGGACACGTTTTCAACCGAATTGGCTGCAATTTTATATTTGGGGATCTCAACAGATAGAAAATCTTCTTAACAAAAATTATCAATATTGGTCCTCTTTTTCGGGAACCACGGAACCTCCCAAATTTCGATTTTTTTGGGGAGTTTGGGCAGGTTTTTTAATAAAATTGGATACAATTCGATATTTGGGGTTCTCATTGCGTAGCGAATCTTCCTACCAAAAAATTATCAATATTGATCCATTTTTTGGGGTAGCCCCCATATAAGCGGACCTTAAAAATTTCCAAAGTGTGGGGATTTTGAGCGCATTTGTCATCCGAATTGGCTATAATTTTATATTTAGGCTTCTCATTGGGCAATAAATCTGCATACCAAAAATAATTATTATTGGTCCACTTTTAAGGTTAGCCCCCATATAAGGGTACCTTTCAAATTTCGATATTTAGGGAATATTGGGCTCGTTTTCTATCCGAACTGGCTGTAATTACATATTTTAGGTTCGCATTGGGTAGGAAATCTTAATACCAAAAATGGTCAAGATCGATATATTTTTAAGGATACCCCTCATTATTCGGTATTTTGGGAATATTGGGCTCGTTTTATATCCGAACTGGCTGTAATTTGATATTGTGCGTTCGCATTGTGTAGCATATCTTAATACCAAAAATTGTCAAGATCGATCTATTTTTAAGGGTACCCCTCATTTAAGGGTACACCTCATTATTCGGTATTTACGCGATTTTGGGTACAGATTTTAAACGAATTGACTGCAATTTGGTATTTTGGGTTCTCTTTGGGTAGCAAACCTTCCTACAAAATATTATCAAGATTGGCCCAAGTTTTGGGGTAGCCACCATATAAGGGTTCCCCTCATTATTCGATATTTCGGGATTTTTGGATTCATTTTTCAACCGAATTGCCTGTAATTTGATATTTTGGGTTCTCTTTGAATGGCAAACTTTCCTACAAAAAATTATCAAAATATGTCTACTTTTAGGGTTAGTCCCCATATAAGAGTTATTTCCGAATTTCGATATTATGGGAATTTGTGACGCGATTTTCAATCAAATTGGTTCTAATTTGATAATTTGTGTTCTCTTAGGAAAGCAAATCTTCCTACAAAAAATTGTCAATATTGGCCTATATTTCGGGATAGCTAGCTAAGGGTACCCCCCTATTATTCGATATTTTGGGTATTTAGGGCATAATTTTCAACCTAATTGGCTACAATTTGGCAATTTGGGTTATATTTGAATGGTAAACCTCCCTACAAAAAATTATTATCATTGGACCAAGCTTCGGGGTAGACCCCATACAAAGGCACCCCTCATTAATCGATATTTTGGGAGTTTGGGGTGCGATTTTCATTCGAATTGGCTGTAATCTTGTATTTTGCGTTCCCATGAGGTAGCAAATCTTCATACCTAAAATGATAAAAATTTGTCAAAATTTAAGGTTAGTCCCCATATAAGGGTACCTTCGGAATTTCGATATTTTGGGGAATTTTGAGAGCTTTTCTTCACCTAACTGAATGTAATTTGATATCATGGATTCTCATTGGGTCACAAATGATCGCACTAAAAATTATCATTATTGGTCCAAATTTCGATGTAGCTCCCATATAAGGGTACCGCAAAAATTTCCGAAGTGTGGGGAATTTGGCCACATTTTGCAATCAAATTTGCATGTAATTTATTATTTTAGATCCTCATTGTGTAGAAAATCTTATTTTTTAGATATTTTGAATCTACCACCTCATGGTGTTGAAAATAAGTTCGACCCTGCCGAATTTACCGATTTTTTTACTTATTTTTTTTTCTCTCACCGAGCTAATCTATAACAATTGTTTATGGCTTGATTTCTTATTCTTCTTCTATTTTTTTATTTTCCATGCATTTCATTTTGGATCGAATCTGCTTTGTCTGCTGCTTTGGATGGTCATTGTTCGTCTTACGATATATCATCCCGCCTGGCTTGCTGTTCGGGTGTATCGGTGTGTTAATAATCAACAACAAAATGTAGACGGTCGCGCAAAATGCAAACCTCACAACAAAAGAGTCCACTGCCAATTGGAGGTTTGCCCGTAAATTGTTGTGGTCCAGCCGGTTCACCAGGACCACTTGGCTCAATAGCAACGCTGTCGGCATTCAATAATCACAAGGTAAGTAACAGCATAATATATACCCTACACACACACACTCACATATACAAATATCTATGTTGTAAGTATAAAGAGATTTATAAAGCAATAAAAAACCGCATGCATGTAAGTATTTATTTGCTTGAATAGTTTTAGCCACACTGCCAAAAAAAAAAGGGAGGACAGTGGATCTTCGGGGTCTTAAAAAAATTGGAATTCATCTTCACTTTTTTTTTAAGAAATTTTTATCTTGAAAATCCATTATTTTATTTTGTGTAAAATATTTTCCCAATTTTTACCCCCCTGGGAACCACTGTGCCGGCTGCCATGATTGCCCTGCCAAAAGAAGAACAAAAGCGGGACATTACACGGCAAAGTAGTAAAATAGATTTATGATCATTTACAGCCCTCCAATTTGAACAACAAGAACAACAACAAAATGACTTACATGCAACGCTTTGGCCAAAAAATGTTCTGATGCTGGGCCCCATTGCTGGCTGTTGGCTGGTTAAACCATATTCAGGGCCATAGCCGATGATGATGATGACGACGACGATACGCGAAAAGCATATGTACAATTATGTCCGAACACAAATTGTGGGAAAAGATTGGCTGCTACATTGTAAATCTTTTGACTATCTATCTGTCTGTCTGTCCGAATATCACAAGGAAGGGAGAAGTATCAGCATCAGAACCATTGGCTTAGCCAATAATACCCACACACACACACACATCTGAGCACCAAAGACCCGATAAGCATAATAATGCATTCAGGTTTTTTGTTGCTTTTTGGCTCTTGGCTAACAAACTGGGCAAAGACATGGAGGGTGATGATGATATCCTTTGGATTTTTGGGAGATTTTGTGGTCGGACGAAGGGTGGGTTGGAGGATGAATTATGGCCCAAATATTGTAATGCCCTGCAAATCATTTATTTATGTTCGTGAATAGTTTTGGGAATACGTGAAATAATCTTAATTACAGTGTTCAGTGTTTCAGCAGTGGAGTGCCATGGCATGGAATGGGCTGCATCTTTGGCTGGAAGGTGTACCGAAGCGGTCATTACTTTTCATAACATGACAGCCTTGATTTTTTTTCTTGAGTTGTTGTGATTTTCAAAATAACCACCCGAGAGCAAGATAAATGGATATCATTTCAAATGGAGTCAGTGGGGGCGGGGGGATATGAAGGATGGATTTTTATTTCAAGAAATATTGTTTTTATAGGATTATTATGCGTGCTTTAAAAAAATCTTTTAGGACCCACCGATAGGCGTGGATTTTTAAAAATTTATTTTTTTAGAGAACAGGCGTGGCAAAAAAAAAATAGCAAATAGGCGTGGATTTTAAAAAGTGTATTTTTTTAAGATCAGCAATAGGCGTGGATTTTAAAAAATGTATTTTTCAGAGGTCAAAAAATATATTTTTAATTATCAGCACAAGGCGTGGGGTGACGTAGGGGATGATAGATACCAAGTAACGGCTCTGATTGGCTTTAACATGGCGAAGCCCAGGCTTATCTTGATCCATCTTTCATCTCAATTGTGGACACTAACCTCCACATGGTGCCACCTAGGGTACCTATTTTCATCACCCGATGAAATAGTGAGCTAATATGTGCCGCGAACTATAAAAAATGGATTGAGGTGTCGGGTTAGTTGCCCACACTCGGAAAACCCCTCTTACTATGGAAAAGCAAAGAAAAAGAAAACCAAACCCCCCAAATGTTGACGACCCCCGCAAACGTATAAAGCACCACGATCTGCGAATCTGCACTTGGAATGTGCGCACGTTGTACAGAACAGGCGCAGTGTTCGCTTTGGCGGATGTACTCAAGAAGTACAAAGCCGATATTATTGTCTTACAGAAAATGCGATAAAAAGGGACAGGTGTAAGTAAATCAGATGATTACGCCCTGTATTATAGCTGCCATGAAACGAGGCGTGAATTTGGCTGCGGATTTATGGTTAAGAGAAGAATAAAAGATTCACTCCAGTAGATGAGCGAATTGCTATAATCCGCATAAAAACGAAGTTATTTTACATTAGTCTCATTTGCGCCAATGATGAACAGACCAAAGACATATTTTACGGGCGCCTAGAAACAGCATATGACCGCCATTGCCCTGGCCATGACATTAAAATTCTGCTAGGAGATTTTAATGCAAATCGGAAGGGAAAATATCTTTGCCCTACCGTCGGAAAATTCAGCATCCATGAAGAAACATCAGACAACGGCATGTGGTTGATTGACTTCGCGGCAGCAAAAAACATGGTAGTTAGCAGCACCAGATTCAAGCATTTCGATATACACAAGACCACTTGGATTTCTCCCGATCGAACAACGAGAAATCAAATCGATCATGTTGTGATAGACGGAAGTGTTTTAGACGTCCGATCGATCCGAGGAGCGAATATCGATTCGGACCATTACCTTGTGCCAGCCAAGGTACGCACCCGTCTTAATGTAGCAGCAAAAGTGCGATCGAATGTAACACGGAAATTTCACGTCGAAAAGCTGCAAACACAACAGATAGCAGAAGCCTACTTCGCTTAACTTACCCAACTGCTTGACGAAAGCACCCCTTGTCCCGATAAAAATATAGAAGCACAATGGCAGAGAATTACCCTCTCCCTACAAACTGCAGCAAAAGCAACACTTTGGTACCAAAGATCAAGAAATCCGCTACTGATATGAAAAACCCTGCGTATAGGGCAACCCTGCGGACAGTAGCAACACATAATGCGATGGAGAACTATCGGGAGAAATGGAGAGAGGAGAACAAGAAAATGTGAGCGTGGGCAAATCGAGATGTACAGGAGTCAGAATGAAGTCCGATAATTGTACCAACGGATGAAACACCAAACCGAAGGCTTTGGTGCAGGCACATCCTCCTGTAGAGATGAAGAAGGAAACCTGGTGACAGATACAGTCAGCGTGCTGAGGATCTGGAAGGAACATTTTAAAAAACCCCACAACCAATAATAGATGGCGGTACTGAGTGCATACCACCTAGCCAAGATGAAGTCAGAATAACAATCAATCGGCTGAAGAATAATAAATCAGCAGGTGCCGATGGGTTACAAGCCGATCTATTCAAGACTGGTGATCAGATGCTGGTAAGGAGCATGCAGCAGCTGATTAGTACAATTTGGCTAGAAGAATGACATTCAGAAAATGTTTCTTAAAAAATCCAGGCCTAATTTTTTATAAAGATCCAAGACTTCATAAAAAATTAGAAAAATTCAGTAAAAATATTTAAAACCAGCGAGCGGAGCAGTCGGACACGGCCGACCATACTATACCCTACACAACTACCACGGAACTATAACTTTCTGAGAATTTTTATTCCAAGTATTGGCAATATTTAGTGATAGTTGCATCCTCTGCCCGATTTGAGGTCAACAGCAGCCATTCCTTACACTGACACATTTTCCGAATACTTGTCCATAGTCCCTTCACCGTAAGTTGTATGGTGATGATCGGCTTATAATTGTGCCCTATAAATCGACTCGATACAAAAAAAAATAAGTTTACGGTCCACTTCATCTCAATAATATTATCTGATCACCACCGAAAATTTAGTAAATTTGACCATAACTGGAGCCTCATGGAACAATTCAAAGCGATCAGCGCTATATTTCCGCCCACCAGTGTGGTAAAGGGTTACTAAATAATATCTGATTACGTAAGCACCTACAAATATTTAAGTTGAACTCCCACATCCGAATACATACGACAATATAATTGTTATTGTTATATAAGGCCAACCACGCCTCTTGGATATACTATCCACTTCTGGGGTCTATATCCTTCAAGGGTAAATATATACGCTATAGAATACAAATTTCGTCATTTTTCACACAAAAGTCAGGGTCCATTTGACCCGCTAAATAGTGGTCGATCTTTATCAAAACAGGCATGCTTAGTCTTTGGCCCGATCCCCTTCTCCATGCCTCTGGAGCGACCAGAAAACCCGATAAAAATTAAGTATTTGGTCCATTTCATCCCCTAAATATTAAGCGATCTTTACCAAAAGCAATAGGGGTCTTCATTGGGCAGAACAAATCCAACATGCAAAATTTCGTGAAGATTGGTGCATAACTGTGGCCTGTATCGTGTTTACAAATTATAATGGACGGACGGACGGACACACATGTCTAGATCAACTCAGCTAGTCGAGATATGACGATCAATACATTAAACGTGGGTCTAGGACCAATATTTCGCGGCGTTACAAACTTTTGGGGTGCACAAAGCTATAATACCCTGACAACATAGTTGTGTAGGGTATAAAAATACAGGTTTTAATAAAAAAATCCGTTCATTGTTTAGTTGCTTCAAAAAATTATTTTTAAAAAAATCCAAGCCTTTTATAGATGCCTAATAATTGTTGTGTGTCTTCATTAGATTTTTTTTTAATTGTAAAATAATTTTTTAACGTCATTTAAAATTGTTTCTTGTTCCAGGAATGGGATCAAGTATCAGCCTATAGTGGCCGCTCAATACCCCGACCCCGTGCCTATCCCATGGACAATCAAGATGATATGCGTAGCCATTTCTCGGGAATGCCAGGAAAGCTGGCGAAACCCAGGTAAGCTAAAGATTTCATGAGATAACGATTTCATGAATAAATATTAAAAAAATATTGCTGCTAAGCTTTCGTAGAATGCTTACGGTTGGAAGATTTATTTATTAAATATTTTTTGTTGTTGTAATAATTTGTGTTTTGTTGTAATATTATTATTTTCTTAGTTGTGTATTATTTTTATTTTAAATGTTTTTTTATTTTTTATTTTGCTTTTATTTCACGAAAACACCAACAACAACAACAAATCATCAACATTGCTCATTATGTCCACCCACTCGATTATACAAAAACAACAACACCCTATCGCCACACAACACAATCATTATCATTTTAAAAAACAAATATATATGTACTATATATAAACCAGATCCATTGCTGATGGCCAATCGCAGCATAGCTTTTCAAATAATTCACATCGCGGCTATTTGGGCACCGCATTTCCATCGAATTTAGTCAATTCCCGTCCCGAATTGCGTCAATCGCGACAGTCACTTGCTGCACCCTCGGAGAGAATGTCACGTGCCTCCTATGCCGGTTCAATACATGGTGGCGGCGGTGGCATCGGTGGTGGTGGACCCACCAGTGTGGCGTCTAGTACACGCCGTTCACGGCCGCGTTCTAGATCACGCGATCAATTAAATGCCACGCATTTACACAGTCATCGACCTGGAAGTCGGTAAGTAGGCTGACAATAAAAACAGCAGCAACAACCAAAACCAACAACAACTACAACAAAACCTGTTACACTACATTAACCACTAAACAACTCGTTCTCCCACTTCTTCATTTCAAAACACCCAGACAGACATCTTCCTCCAAAACACGAGTCACTTAACAACTCTTTAAAAAAAGAACAACAAATCTGACTCTGGTAATAGACCCACTTTTCTACACAAAAACAAATCTATGCTAAAAAATATATCGACACCATTTTGTGGAACCAAAACTGTGCTATGCTATACGGTCTACTCTACGGCCTAGCATTTTGAGGATGCCTTCTTTGTGTGTTACTAACTCTGGCCGGGTTGATCTGGTTTGGAAGCCCATTGCATGTTGTTGTTGCCTGCTTGGTTGCATTTCTTGTGCTCCAATGACAATGAAATGGAATGACAACATGCAAAGAGTACGCCACCCCCACTTCTCCTCCCCATCCTCCTCCTTTCGTATGGCAATTCTGCGTTTCTTTGGTGTGGGGCTTAATTATGTGTTTAGTTAATATTTGTTTTGGGATTTATGGAACATCACAACAGACACCTAATAATTTCATGACTATCCTCCACATTATCTTAGAATACGCCTATATGGGGACAACCACAAACACACGGAACAAATCGAACTATTTTAATATAAAAAAGTTTATATGAGGACTATCTCTAAAAGGGGGCGAATATTAATAACTTTTGGTACAGAGAATTCGTTTGAAACACGCGCTCAAGAACCCCGAAATAAAGAAAATTAGGTCTACCTTCTATATGGGATCTAGAAGAAAAAGTGGACCTATATTAAAAATTTTTTTAGTGGAGATTTTTGGTACCCAATACGAACCCAATGTACCAATTTTCAGCGAATTCAGTTAAAAAACGCACTCAAGAACCCCTGAATACCGAAAATTGGGGGGTACCTCTTATAGGGGGGGTACCCGAAAAAATTTACCTATACTTATAATTTTTTAAGGAGTGATTTGCTACCCAAAAATAACTCAAAGTATTAAATTACAGCCTATTCCGGCGAAAAAATGCGGTCAAAACCCATAAAATTCTGAAAATTGGAGGTACCGTTATACGGGGGCTACCAATAAAAAAGTGGACCGATATTTATAATTTTATGTATAGAGATTTGCTACCCAATAAGAACCCTATGTACCAAATTTCAGCGAATTCGCTTGAAAAACGCGCTCAAGAACCCCGAAATACCGAAAATTAGTGGTACCTTCTATATGGGGGCTACCAGAAAAAATTGACCTATATTTAAAAATTTTTAAGTGGAGACATTTAGTACCCAATAAGAACCCAATTAACCAAATTTTAGGGAAATCAGTAAAAATAACGCTCAAGAACCCCTGAATACCGAAAATTTGAGGGTACTCTTATATGGGGGCTACCAGAAAAAAATTTACCTATACTTATAATTTTTTTAAGGAGTGATTTGCTACCCAAAAAGAACTCAAAGTACTAAATTACAGCCTATTCGGACGAAAAATGCGGTCAAAATCCCCAAAAAACTGAAAATTGGGTGTACCGTTATACGGGGACTACCAGAAAAAGTGGACCGATATTTATATTTTTTAAGTGGGAGATTTACTACCCAATAAGAACCTAATTTACCAAATTTCAGCCAATTCGCTTGAAAAACACGCTCAAGAACCTTAGAATACCGGAAATTGGTATATGGACCGATATAGCCCAATTTCGAACATGAACTGCCTGCAGGCAAAAGACGACTCTATGTAAAATTTTGGCGATCTATCTCAATTCGTTTAGACGCTATAGTAATTACAACTGACGGACAGACGGACCGATATAGCCCATCTTCGAACATGACCTGCCAGCAGACAAAATGCGACTCTATGTAAAATTTTTTCGATCTATCTCAATTCGTTTAGACGGTAGAGTGATTACAACAGACGGGCCGATATATATATATATATTTTGGCGATATATATATTACAAGATATATATATATATATATATATATATACTTTATATGGTCGGAATTGATTATTTCGATGCGTTACAAACGGAAAAACAAAACTAATATACCCTCCATACTATGGTGGAGAGTATAAAAAAGTGCTCATATTCAGAGTTTTCAAAAAAAGTTTAGGGTCTTCAATAAAAATTTGCCGAACAGTAAATAGAAGGAAGAGTAAAATATATTCAGAATAAGATTTACAGTCTAGGTTAGGTAGTACATGAAGATCGTTTAACTTCTTTTAACTATGAACTATTACGCTAAGACTACTACTACATTCGGTAAGGGATATAGAATGAAGTTAGTGGGTTATATACAAGCCCTTTGGAATAGTTAAGACTCTATAACAGAAGGATATATTCTGCCAGAGAGAATGTATCTATTCTGATAGGTATTAGATTCACTATTATCTCTATGTTATATGCTAGACTTTTGTTTTCTTGTTGCAAGATGGACCTCGAAGTTATCTTGAGTCAATGTAAATCATATAAACGCATATAATAAACTTAAAAATCTAGAAATCATTTAACCACTATAAAATGCAATTATTCAAGCGCTGTATATAGTAGATCTATCAAAACTTTATCAATTCACCGGATGTTCGGCAGAAAACTCAATATCGGCATCTTCTGAGCTCCTGGTACGACTTCTTCAGTGATATCATTTCGTTAAGTGTAAATCATGTTTCTCGTTGTCACATCGGTTAATCATATAATTGACTTCATTGTTGATTTCCTCTACTACCAAATCATACATTCTGTAGTTCTCGGCAGGAAGATCGAGAAATATAATTTCAGATAATACTTCTTTCTTTATAATGGCTTCACACATTCCTGTAATCACCTTCAGTTCCGAATTTATTTTTTCATCCTTAATCTCGAATGCAAGTAAATTCAGTTCTTCCAACTTGTCTTTAATAATATTTACAAATTCCTTTAGTGGACCTCATATCCTGGAGGATATTCTTTTCGTCAAAAACGTAAAACATTTAACTTCTGACAAATCATGTTTCGCGTCGTCACATCGGCTAATCACATAATCGTCTTCACTGCAGATTTCCTCCAATGCTAAATCATACATTCTGTAGTTCTCGGCGAGAAGATTGGTAAATAGAATTCCACATAATCCCGCTTGATGTCACCCACTTTCTTTATAATGATTTCACACATTCGAGTAATCCGCTTCAGTTCCGAATTTACTTTTTCCTGTCTTAATCTCGGATGCAAATTGTTTCAGTTCTTCCAACTCCTCTTTAATAATATTTACCCATTTCTTTAGTAGACCTACTATCCCGAAGGATATTCTTTTTGCCAAAAACCTAAAGCTTTAACTCCTGACAAATTATGCCTCACATCGGTACATCGGTTCATTACATAATCAGCTTCATTGTAGATTTCCTCTACTGCAAAATCATACAACTTGGAGTTCTTGGTGAGAATATTGGTAAATAGACCTCCAGATAATCCCGCTTGATACTATACATTTTATCCAACTGGTCTTTAATAATATTCACCCATTCCTTTAGTAGACCTACTATCCCGAAGGATAATCGGCTCCATTGTATATTCCTCTACTGTAAAATCATTCATTATGTAGTTCTCGGCGAAAAGACTGGTAAATAGAATTCCAGATAATCTCGCTTGATGTCATCCACTTTCTTTATAATGGTTTTAAACATTTGTGTAATCCGCTTCAGTTTCGAATTTATTTTTTCCTGCATTAATCTCGGATGCAAGTTGTTTCAGTTATTCCAAGTTGTCTTTAATAATATTTATTTCCATTTCTTTAGTAGACCTACTATCCGGAAGGATATTTGTTTCATCAAAAAACGTAAAGCGTTTAACTCCTGGCAAATCGTGTCTAGCGTCGTCACATCGACTATTCACATAATCGGCTTCAATCAATCGGCTTCAATCGCTAATCAGATAATCCCGCATGATGTCATCCACTTTCTTTATAATGGTTTCAAACATTCGAGTAATCCGCTTCAGTTCCAAATTTATGTATTCATCCTTAATCTCGGATGCAAATTATTTCAGTTCTTCCAACTCATCTTTAATAATATTTACCCATTCCTTTAGTAGACCTACTGTCCGGGAGAGTATTCTTTTCGCCAAAAACGTAGATAAAATGTTTAATTCCTGGGTCATTGTATTAAGTCGCTTGTACTTCCTCTCTATCTCCCGCTCATCAAGTCTTTTTTCCGCAGCCCTTTGTGATCAAATCCGGCTCGAAGGACCAAAAATCTAAAATATACAATGGGATAACGGGATGACTTCTGCATCTCTAATTAAATTGTACCAGACATCCGTTGCTCGTCTGAATAAAATACGGCGCTACACGACTGTTCTATTTTAACATGCTGACAACTGGCAAGAATAGCTGACAAATTTCGTTTCAAAGCAGTCTGATTACAATAAATTAAGGCCATTGATCTTATGAAAAATTGAATAGGGTTCTTGAAAAAGAGTTTTGATCCTTAAAAAATATTCTTTCTAAAATTTATAGTCATCGGTCTTAGAATTTTTTTTTTTCTAAAATCTCCAGTTTTTTAGCGTTGAAAAAAAAATATTTTTTTTTATCTCCACAAAGGATTTGGTCTTTGGGGAAATATTTTCCAAAATCTTAAAATTAACCGAATATAACTTAATAATAACCATATAATAGTAAAATAAAATAGTCTCTAGTAATCTTTAACGTTATACGATCCTGGGACACGATGGGTTTATTGGCTCTAACAAAAATCTTACAGCAAGGACATTTTTTTTAGATATTAATATGCAATATAAAACAAATTCTCATCATATTTAAAAAAATTCCATATAAATCTAACATTAAACCCCTTAATGTCATTATATTACATTGTTTACACTTAGCTTAGCAAAACAATGTATCGCATTGCGTATAAGTGTTGTCATATCGTATACGCCTCCGCCTTCTCCTCCCATATGATATTACACAAAATAATAATTTACATACAGAGAGAGACAGTACACAAAATTAAAATATCATTATCAAACAGTATTCAAAATAAAATACACACAGAAACCCTTATATTGTTATTAGCATATTCCATACAAATATATATATATTCACAATCATATATATCCATATATATATGAGGGAAAAAATGTCATTATACACAAATCATTTGTATTTCCTGGAGCTAAATATATTCCCAATTACTATTGATATTATTACTAGTATTACATCTGTGTTTGTAGTTCGAGACAACAAATATATATAGAGATACATGTACTTTTGTATTGGTTGAGCATACATACATAACATACGTATATTTGGGTTTAGTTAGCTAGATTGGCTTTTCGGTAGATTTCAATACCATTACCATATTGAGCAGATAGTTATTGATTTTAAAATCTTTATTTTTTTCTTTCCAATTCTTTTAGATATGGCTACTAAAGGAATTTTCACAAATTGTATATAATTTTGTTATGAGATTTCGAAAAAAATTAAAAAAAAAAACACACACAAACTGAAACGTTGATGCTCCACAAGTGATTCAATTATTTTTTTGCCGAATAAATACAAAAATACATACCAAATAGAAATACTATAAAATATATACGTACATACCTAACTAGTTTGTTTGTGTAAGTAAATTTAGAAAAAATAATTTATTTTTAGAAATTACTATTAAATATTTATTACGATATATGTGAAAAAAATCGGTTCAGGGAAAACGGATGTAGCAAATATAATCGAATTTGGTTTGTATTTTAAAGGGAATAAAATATGAAGAGTTGGAAGAGGTGTGCGTATACGTGTTGACATAATGTATACGCTACTGATGATTATGCTGAATAAAAACAGGCTTTTCAAGCACAATTTGGGCCAAAAAATGGATTAGAAATAAAAATTTTTAATGAAAAATCAATCCCGAAAAAAAGAGAAAATATTTTTTTCTAAATTATAAATCGAAGTTGATTTAATTTGTATTTTAAAATATGAAGAAACAGAGTGCGTATACGTGTTGACATAATGTATACGCTAATGATTATGTGAAATAATGACGTTTTTCAAATCGCAAATCGGGATTAAAAATAAATATTTTTTATGAAAAATCAGTTCAGAAAAACAGACAATATTTTATTGAAAATTATAAATCGAATTAGTAATTTAAAGGGAAAAATGAAATATGAAGAAACCGAGTGCGAATTTTTCAGGGCAATCTGAGACGTAAACGGGGCGTAAAAATAAATTGTTATAATCATAAACAAGTCCAGGGAAACAGATGATATTTTTTCAAAGCTAGAAATCAAATTAAAAAATAAAATATGAAGTAACAGAGTGCGTATACGTGTTGCCATAATGTATACTCCACTAATTATGCTGAATAAAAACGATTTTTCAAGGACAATCTGAGACGTAAACGAGGATTAAAAATAAATTTTTATAATGCAAAACCAGCAAGGAAAGTAGTAAAGTCGGACGGGGCCAACTATATGATACCCTTCACCACTTTGGGTATATTCAACAGATGCATCCTAACAGACGTCGCATTTTTAAAGGACCAGTAAAATGAAATTGGATCCATAAACATGTCATTCTGCAACCGATACTAAATTTTTCAATTGGTCAGATATAGAAACCATATCTAAACCGATTTTCAGGAAACTTAACACACATAATTCTAGACCTTATTCATTACACTGTACCAAATTTCGTGCAAACCGAAAGATATTAAGGGACTTGGGTACACCATTTACCTTAAATCGGACGAAGCTATATCTAAATCTAAACCGATTTTCAAGAAACTTAACACACATAATTCTAGACCTTATTCATTACGCTGTACCAAATTTCATACAAATCGAAGGATATATAGGGACTTTGGTGCACCATTTACATAAAATCGAACGAAAATATATATGGGAGCTATATCAAAATCTGAACCGATTTTCACGAAATTTAACACACATTTTTCAAGACTTAATTCAGTACGCTATACCAAATTTCATGCAATTCGAAAGTTATATAGGGACTTTGGTGCACCGTTTACATAAAATCGGACGAAAATATATATATGGGAGCTATATCTAAATCTGAACCGATTTCCACGAAATTTAACACACATCATTCTAGTCTATATTCAGTACGCTATACCAAATTTCGTGCAAATCGAACGATACATAGGGACTTTAGTGTACCATTTACATAAAATCGAACGAAAATATATATGGGAGCTATATCTAAATCTGAACCGATTTTCACGATATTTAACACACGTCGTTCTAAACTTAATTTAGAAAGCTGTGCCAAATTTCGTGCAAATCGAAAGATATATAGGGACTTTGGTGCACCATTTACATAAAATCGGACGAAAATATATATGGGAGCTATATCTAATGTGCAAAATTTCATCAAATTCACATAGACAGACGGACGGACGGACATGCATAAATCGACTTAGAAAGCGATTCTATGCATATTCTCTAAAGGAACCATGTGTCTATTTCGTTTCCTTTTGCCTGTTATAAACATATGCACAAGGACATAATACCCTGTACCACAGTGTGGTGAAGGGTATAAAAATACAACCTCTTAAAAAAATTAAATTCTCATTTTTCTGACAATCTTTCTTTAAATATTCTATTAATTTCGTTAACTTTTATTTGTATAACATTTTTTTCTAATTTTTTTTTTAATTTCAAAACATTTTTTTCAAAAATTATTAACCATTTTTTAATGTTTTTTTTTTCGAATTTTTCTAATATATATTTTTTTCAAATTTCCCCAATTCACAGATACTCTACGGCTGGTTCGACACACACCCTCAACAATTATTGCGATACATCGGATAATTGGACCGATCACGATATGGACATATATATGGCTAGAAATCCGACAACACGCAATGGATTGGTGCCATTATGAGGGCGGGTTATGCTTTCCTGATATTTCGATGTTGTATTAAATTTAGATGAACTTTTCTGACAATACGTTACGCCTAATCGCCATGGGGAGCGGGAGCGGCGGCAGCGACAACAACAACAAAGACGTTTGATTAAATGTTCAAATGGTGGTGCTGGAGCTGCTGCTGCTGTTACAAATCGTGGCGATCAGGTGTATAATAATTTACAACAACATTATCATTTACAACATAATCATCAGCAACAACAACGACAACAACAACAGCCATATCAGTATCACAATCATCCGCAACAACAACACCATAATTATGACCATTTAAGACCCATTTCTTCGTATCCCCGTTGTACCTCCCCGCCCGATGTTGTACCCCGACCACAAAATGTTCAATCCAATCATGGCAAATCCTTGACGCCGACCATACCCGAAGAATATGAAACGAATGGTATTGTTGTTGAAAACTATTTCAACGAATATGAACGTCAGGAAATTGTACATCATCCTCCGGCGGCAGCAGCAGCAGTTAAGCGGAAGTTAAAATCCACAACAACAACAGAGGCAGCTGATGTTGCACCTCTACCATCACCACAACCACCTAACCTGCCACCGTTGTGTTCCATTATTATTAATAGTAATACCACTAACACTAAAAGTTCCGCCGCAAATGTGGTCATGTCACAGCAGCCGTCAATATTCACTGTGACAACAGCAACACAGCCAGCAGGTGGTGTTGGTGTTCATCCGAATCAGCTGCCATCCGCCTCATCATCGCCAATAAATTTCAATTATCAACTTCAACACCAGCAACAATGTTATGAACAACAACAACATCCATTGAACGAATCAACGATTAAGTCTAATATTAATTTTAAAAATTATAATATTGAAAATAATAATTTTAGCAATAACAACAACAAAAACAACAACCACAATAACGATAGCAATAACAAAAACAAATTTAGTAATTGTAAGGAGTTCTTTAAGGAGTCGTCTACAACTAGATCTATAACTAATAGCAACAACACCTCTACAACAACAACAACTACATTGTCAGAAAATACAACAACTTCTGTGGCATCCTCATCATCTGATATAAACAGTGGTGATGAAAATTGTAGCACAAAATAATTATTCGTAAAAAAAATTGAAATTTTTTTTTTTCAAAATTAAAAAAAAATTCAAAATTTCAAAAAAAAAATTTGGATATCACTCTCTACTGTAGTCATAAAAAACACAACGAATTCTTTTAAAAGTAATTTATTAAATTATATAAATTATTAATATATAAATTAAAATTATTATTTTTTGAAAAAAAATATTTTTTCAAATTTTGAAAATTAAAAAAAAAATATTTTTTGAAATTTAAAAAAAATATTTTTTTTTTCTAAAATGTTTTGGTGTTTTTTTTTTGTTTTTTAACTAATGAATATTTTTTCAAAAAAAATTTTTGTTTTCAAATTTCGAAACAATTTTTGAAATTTAAAAAAAAAAAAAAATAATTTTTCAAAATTTAAAAAAAAAGTATTTTTTCCAAAATGGAGAATATTTTTGTATAAATTGTATTTTTTCGTGTTTAAAAAAATGTTATTTTTAAAAAAAAAAAAAAATTAAATTTCGAAAATTAAAAAAAAAATATTTTTTTTTCAATTTTGAAAATTAAAAAAATATTTTTTTTTCAAAATTTCAAAATCATCAAAAAACACAACGAATTGTTTTAAAAGTAAATGATTAAATTATTATTTTTTTGAATTCTGATTTGAATTTTGAAAATTAAAAAAATTAAAAAAAAAATATTTTTTGAAAATGAAATAATTTTTTTTTAATTTAAAATAATGTTTTGGTTTTTTAACTTAAAAATTTTTGTTTTCAAAATTCGAAAAAAAAATTTAACTTAAAAAAATATATTTTTTGAAATTAAAAATATTTTTCTCCAAAATGGTATTTAAAAATAGTTTTTTCCAAAATGTTATTTTTGTATAAATTGTATTTTTTCGTGTTTAAAAAAATTTTATTTTTTTAATTTTTTTTTAATTTTGAAAATTAAAAAAATATATATTTTTTGAAAAATTTTTTTTTTCAAGAATTCAAAAAAAAATTCAAAATTTCAAAAAAAAAATTGGGTATCACTCTACTGTAGTCACCAAAAAACACAACGAATTGTTTTAAAAGTAAATGATTAAATTGTTATTAAAAAAAAAATATTTTTTAAATATTGAAAATTAAAAATAAAATATTTTTTGAAAATGAAAAAAAAATATATTTTTTTGAAATTTAAAATAATGTTTTGGTTTTTTAACTTAAAAATTTTTTGTTTTCAAAATTCGAAAAAAAATTTAACTTAAAAAAATATATTTTTTGAAATTAAAAATATTTTTTTTCAAAATGGTATTTTTGTATAAATTGTATTTTTTAATTTTTGTTTTCAAAATTCGAAAAAAAATCTTTTGAAATTAAAAATATTTTTTTTTTTTGCAAAATGGTATTTAAATTTTTTTTTTTTTAATTTTTAAAAATTTAAAAAAAAAATATTTTTTTTCCAAATTTTTTGAAAAAAAATATTTTTTTAAAATGAAAAAAAAATATTTTTTGAAAATGAAAAAAAAATAGTTTTTGAAAATTAAAAAACAAAATATTTTTTGAAATTTAAAATAATGTTTTGGTTTTTTAACATAAAAATTTTTTGTTTTCAAAATTCGAAAAAATATATTTTTTGAAATTAAAAATATTTTTTTCCAAAATGGTATTTTTGTATAAATTGCATTTTTAAAAAATAATAACTTTTTAATATTTTTTTCAATTTTGAAAATTAAAAAAAAAATATTTTCGGAAATTTGTTTTTTTTCCAAAACTTCAAATGATTTCAAACAGTGCCAACAGTATGCTGTAAAACAATAATGACTTGACTGTTCGAAATCATTTGGACTAAATACTATATTCTAATTTCCCCCTAACAATTTGTGTCTTTTTATTTCTAAAAATATATAGGAACCTACTTTTAATATTAAAAAAAAAATTAAATTAAAAAAAAATAATTAAATTTAATGTGTATTTCTTTTTCAATGCATGTTTTATTTAATTTGCAATCTTAAATTTCCAAACATAATTACATAGTTTATATATATATATATATATATTCACACCCCTCTGCAATAATAGTTTTAAATATTTTATAAAAATATCTTAAATTTTCAATAGCTTTCGTTAAAATTTATATTATTTTTTAATTAAAAACATATGAGGTGCAATTTTGTTTTTGTTTTTAAAAATTATTATTTTTTTTTGATTTGTACAAAAAAATAATAATTTCTTTTTCACAAATGTCTTATATTATTATCAGGTTCTAATTTCTACTAATATATTTTTTTAATTATGTACTCAAACATTTATTTTACTATAATCTTTTTCAAATGTGTATAAACAAATTAATTATTATATTTTTAAAATTAATAAAAGTTAAGCAATATATATTTTTTCATTTTATATATACAATACATGATTTTTGTTTTATTTTTATTATAATTTTTATTATGCGAAGCAATAGGGGAAAGAATAAGACCGGGCGATAATATATATTGGAGTTATTAGTTAGTTAAAAATTTGTAACCATTTCAACAAGACATGTTTGGTCCCTGGAAAATTAATTTTTAAAAAAATATAAGTCTAGTGGTCCTGGTAAAAAATTCTCGCCGGTTGGTATTTCAGAAAAATATTTTTCAAGCCTGTTGATATTTAAAAACCAGTAAGCAAAGTATTAAAGTTGGACTGGGCCGACTATATAATACCCTTCACCACTTTGGATATATTTTACATTTGTCTCCTAACAGACTCCGGCTTTTCGAAAGAACATTGACATGAAATTGATGCTAAATGCTAAATTTCATTTCATTGAACCGATTTTCAAGGACGAAATATATATATGAGAGCTATATCTAAATCTGGTACGGTTTTCACGAAGCTTAACACACATCATTCTAGACTCAATCCAGAATGCTCTGCCAAATTTCGCCCAAATCGATATATATATATATATATATATATATATGTACGGACTTTGGTGCACCATTTACATTAAATCGGACGAAAATATATATGGGAGCTATATCTAAATCTGAACCGATTTTCACGAAACTTAACACACATCATTGTAGACTCAATCCAGTATGCTATGCCAAATTTCGTGCAAATCGAAAGATATATAGGGACTTTGGTGCACCATTTGCTTTAAATCGGATGAAAATATATGTGGGAGCTATATCTAAATCTGAACCGATTTTCACGAAACTTTGCACACATAATTCTAGACTCAATTCAGTACTCGATGCCAAATTTCGTGTAAATCGAAAGATATATAGGGACTTTGGTGCACCATTTTCGTAAGATCGTACGAAAAAATATATGGTAAATATATCTAAATCTAAACCGATTTTTACGAAACTTAACACACATCATTCTAGACTCAATCCAGAATGATGTGCAAATTTCGTACAAATCGAAAGATATATATGGACTTCATTGCACCATTTACGTAAAATCGGACGAAAATATATGTGGGAGCTATATCTAAATCTGGACCGATTTTCGCGAAACTTAGCACACATCATTCTAGACTCAATGCAGTACACTATGCCAAATTTCGTGAACATCGAATGATATATACAACACAACCCGCCGTGAAGGGAATCGGAATAAACATCCGAGTTCTGTGGTAATTGTGTAGGGTATCGTATGGCCGGCCCCGTCCGACTATACTGCTCCGCTCACTGTTTTTTTTTTTTCGAGTCGTTCTATAGGCCACAATTGCAAACCGTAAATCACAACACAATCCAAGGGAATCTGGACAAGTAATTAGAAGGGCTGTACTGAATATGAGTAATATTTGTTGACCTCTAGTCGGTCAAGAGGATGCAAATAACGCGAATTATTGCCCAAGCTCAGAACATAGAACCGCAGGAAGTTAGATTTTCGTGGAAGTTGTGTAGGGTATCATATGGTCGGGCCCGTCCGACCATACTGCTCCGCTCAATGGTTTTTAAACTGAATAATCTTTGAGTGTTTATAGTTCAAAAAATATTTTTTTAAAAAAACACGCTTGTTGGACCTTCTAAAAAATATTATTAAAAAAATCCAAGCCTATTTTTTTTTTTTTTTTTTTGAATCTATG